AATCCCAGACCACACCCTTGATCCAAGCAGCAGCCTGGCAGAGTAGGAATGGCGGAAGAGCATGCACAATACCAGGCCACATGCTCTCAACATTGGAAGGGGGTTTTGCCAGGGGGAGAACCCCTGGAAAAGCACATTTTACCCATGTCGATGAGGACAGGGGTCTCTTTCCCGCAACCCCGGCCCATTGGTTCTGGAGGTCTGCGGGCAGGGGGGCTTATCTGAACCTGGGAGCCCCCTTTCATAAACGGGGCATCCAGATGCCACCCCCCACATGAATGACTATGGGGTAGTTGTTACCCCTACTTATTCACCAAATACATGTAAAATTAGTAAATAAACACACAACACCATATACAAAGTCCTTTTATTAAACCCCTTCATGACAGAGGCATTTTTATTTTTGTTTTCGTTTTTTGCACACATGTTATAATCCACATTTTAAGCCTGAAAATTACTTCAAACTCCTAAACATTGTATATTTTCTGAAAACCAAGACCCTATAGAATAAAATGTCAGCAGTTGCAAAATTTTATGTTACACGATATTAGCGCAACTTATTATCAAACCCCCAAATTTTGTGAAAACGTACTTAAATGCCTAAAATACCCATTTAAAAAAAATAAAATATAGAATATGAGGTTACAATGAATAAATACCCAACATGCCCAGGTTAAAAATTGTGTGCGTCCCTGAAACTGCGACCAAAATTCAGTACCCCAAAAAGTCCATAGACAACGCTTTAAAAGCCCCTAGAGGTCATCAGTTTAGAGATACGGATACATATTTGCCCTAGAAATGATTGCTCTCACTCTGGCCTGTGCGGCAATACCCAACATGTGTAGATCATCGCCACTAAGGGCAGTAGGGGGGGACAGTGGGGGGACCAGGCTGCCTGTTTTATTGACATTGTCCTAGAGCCATATACTGAGGGTGGTTAGGGGTGAAGTTGACTTCTACAAGATCAAGGGATTCATGGGGGAGTCGGTCAGGTTGTGACCCACCATAGATTTTTCCACAACCACCCAGACTTTGTTTCACATGGTACCTCCAGTTAATAAACCTGGTCAGAGCTATTGCCTTTATAGGAGGTCAGTAGAAACCCTAGGCCACCTGCCATTTTTGAGTTTAGTAAATATTCGGTAGACTAACCTGGGTCTCTTGCCTCTCCAAATTTAATATGTATCGACCAAGGTACTCAGGCAGTGGGGAATGATGGGCTGAGGGGGTGGCAGATGGCGATACAGGAGGTCCTCTTTCTCTTCTAAGCCGACTGAAGTTCTGAAGTTATCCATCTTGAAGTTGTCATGGTGTAGGGATCTGTAGAACGAGTATGTTCTGGTTCAGTGTACAATAATGTACGCCGATGTTTGGCAGGTTCAACTGCCCTAGAAAGTGGTGACGGTTGTCCTGTAAAACCACAGTTTTTTATTCCATTTCCAGGGGATTAGACTAAAAGGGAAGTGCCATCTGTAGATGTCAGCTTTATGGAGCCCTTCTAGGAGTGGACAATGTGAGTGTCTCTTAGCAAGGATGGGCATCTGGACAAGTCCGGGTATTGGTACAGGCAGACTCCTTTAAACTCAAAGTAGGGTCTTGAGTGCATCTTGGCCATGATGGATTTTTTAATCGTGTTTATGTAGCTTACATACAATGTCTCCGATTGTCAGGGTCCTCTGTTAGCATGCGAAGCCTTCCGGGTGCACCCTGTCGATTTTTTACATCCTACAGGAGGTCAATTACTCTACACTGTACAGAGATGTACTGGCAGCTGAGTTTCTATCAATTGAGTTGTTTTTTTTAATTCAGCTTCTTCTTTAGGGAATTCATGCAAATGCAAGATGTTTGTTAACATCTAATAGTTGTGTGACGGGGCTGTAGCTTGATCATTAACCCCTTCGTGACGGGAGACGTACACTGTACGTCCAGCCACAAAGGGACCAAATGACTTGTCACGTACACTGTACGTGACGAGTTATTTGCTGCTTTAGAGGGCTGTTAATCGCTGAGAATCAGCTTTTAACATTCATTAATGGATGCCCTTACTACAGAGGCATTCATTAATGAAAGGGTTAACCTTTTTCAGACACCCGATACCTTAATATCGGGTGTCTGAGAGTGAAAGCAAAGCGGACACAGATGCCGGCTTTTGCCGGCATTCTGACAGCTCGTATAGATCGAGAGATATCTCTCTCAAGCTATACTGGCTTTTTTTTTTTTCTTTCATGAATAGATACAAAATGTGTCTATTCCTACAATGTATCTATTCCTGGAAGAAGAATGTTTGTTTGCTGATCGTTGTTGCAACAATCAGAAAACCTATAGTAACAGCTGAATCCTGAACTGCTGCAGGATCAGTGTCACTAACTTATTATCGGCTGTTCTGAAGTTTGAAGCAGCCTGATAATAACCAAAAATGTATTAATTTATCATGCAGTAACAGTGAGATTAATTCACAAAATCTGCTTGATATAATTAAATAAATAAAATAACATTTTTAAGTTTAAAAAAAAAAGTGAAAAGTGTAAAAAATAAAATAAAAAAATGTGTAAAAAATAAAATAAGGGACAAATAAATGAATGTATTTATTGCATTTTTTTAGCTGTGCTGGTTTTGTAAAAAAAATACTACAAATCAAAACTGTTTTTTTTTAACGTTTTTTTCCTCTTTTTTTATATTTTATTTGTCCTAAGTGAGGCGTTAGACGCACATATGTGATATAAATATGTAGCCCTATCTGTCCTCTAAAAAACAATATATAATATGTGTGGGTGCACTTTGTAAGAAAGTATATTACTGACATGGAAGAATCACACAGCAAAAATGTCAAAAGTGTGTCAGTCATTTACGAACAGAAACTAAAAACAAGCTCAGTCATGAAGGGGTTAAAGTTACACTTTAAAATGCATTTATACCCCATCAGAGGAGAGAATATAAATGATGAATGTGTCTAATTTTCATCCTGATATTCTTCTGCACCTGCTAGCCCTGTTGCAAAATTGCTTCATTCACTGACATCTTCATTTTTTAAATGTTCCTGCGTCTGACCAAATGAAGTTTTGTGCTATTTTGTTTAACTGGTTTAATCATTGTGTTCTCTTCAAGTCCTGACATTGATGAATAAAAGGAGGGAATTTACTGACGGTGAATTTAGTGACCTTGAATTTAATGACGGGGGCTTACAGAACCCTGTGAAAAGTCTATTGGCTGCATGAATTTATCCTATTTCCATCTTTTGACAGTGGCTTATTCGTTTGGTGAAAGCCATGACACCCACAGATCCTCAGTTTTTAACCCTCAGTCTGGACAAGCAGACTGGCTTCTGCATTCTGTATTACATTGCCACGTGTGAAAAAAATACATTTATATGGCATATTTATAAAACGCCTACTTGTGGTTCAGCCGGCTGATAACATCATGATAATAAGATTTGAAGACGCCTATAATTTAGGAGTCGGTAGGCATGTTTAATGAGCCAGGGAACATGTGCTTCCATTTGCGTCTTGAAAAATGGCTAAAAAAAAAGATTAGCTGCATATGTTTTGAAACGTAATATGATTTGCCTGTCTAGCACCTCATACTTAGTAAGCTGTAAGGACTGGGCTGGCTCTGTGTTTATCTACATCTTGGCCATAAAGCATTTGTAAAAAGGAGATGCTGGGGGACAGACTCAATTGTAGTATACCAACATCAACCATGAGCTGATTTTTTTTTTATTTTTTTTTCAGAGCTGTTTTGAGAACAGAGCAGAAATGGCTGTGGCTGTCCCCTCCTACAACAGATACAATTCTATGAGATAGAAAATTATACTGTTAGGTTTGCTTTGCAGACATCCATAAAGAACCATCCAGTGTTTATGGTGGCAGATCCTCAGTCAAAACATCTTTTAGATCATTCTTTTGATTCACATTATTAATGACTGTAAAGAAATATCTTTCTGGTTTAAGAATGATAAAATATATTTTTTTATTTTGCAGTGGTTTCACGTTTACTCTTGCACATGGCATATTAATCACTATTACTAGTTATTGGATATCATGTACTGTTGTTTTTGCAAATTGGACACAGTGGAGCTGGTTAATTAAAAATGGAGAAAATGATCTGAGAACAAAAGTGGAGTTGTTGCCAATAGCAACCAATCGCATTCAGTGAGTGGAAAAATACAAAAAAAAGCATTCTATTTTGTCACTGTGGTCAAGATTAGGTTTTTAAGTTTCCTATTTCGCCAGCTTTTAATGAATCAGCTCCTTAGGATCTCTGTAGTGAATTAAAGAAAACGACTTCTAAGGACGTTATAAACATAAAAAATAGTTTTAAATGCTCATTGATTTTATTTTTTTTAGAAGTCTTTTCTCCCAGGGATTGCAGTGTGAACTGTAATTTGTTGTATTCTCTCCATCTGGAAGTAGAAATGTCAACTCTGTGTCAGGCTCCTCACAGTGGCTATTCTTTCTCCTGTCTCAGATGCTATTAACAAAGATGCTGTTGGAAGTATATGAAAGGAAAATTAAGACTTTGTTGGTGTAAGTTTTTCCCTTCAGCGTTCAGGAGTGTCAGTTTTCAGTACTGAGCTGGGGCGGGAGATAGGGCAGTCTCTGTGGGTTGCCCCTACAGCCTGCCTTTAAGCTGACACTTCAGAGGAAGAGGAAAGAATACAACTAAATAACACGGCTATCCCTAAAGCTGGCCATGCACTTATTTTACTAATTGGCTGCAGTCAATGCGCTGAAGTCATTCTCCAACAATTCAGCTTCCACCTACCCAGCAGTAATTTTTCAGCCTTGCAGCCTTTTATTTCTTGATGGAAAGAACAGAGCAGGAGCTCTGGGAGGAGGAGCATGCTGAGCTGCCCGAAAGAACAACTTGGAGCAACTTCAGTTTGTTGTGCCATGAATTGATTTGGATGCCATAACATAAGGAATGTGTAGCTTCTGAAGGTTGCCCAGCATTATTTTTGGCTTTTTTAAAGTACATGTATAATTTTGTTTTCTTTCCCTCAGGGTCGCATGGAATATTTTGTGAAATGGAAGGGCTGGTCTCAGAAGTAAGTGGGCTTTTTCTGATATTTCTTTGTAAATACAACAGATTTCACCATTAATACACCTTTACAGAAATAAAGCAACTTTATAAAGGGAAAGGGAGCACGGCACCTAGATTTCCTGTTGCAGCTGAATCTCTGGTCAATGTGATGGGCAAAGCTGCAACAGGTTTTAGTTGTGTCTGACCTTGCCACTAATCTGCATCCCTACATTCCTATAAGCCCATCAATCACCATTGTCCCGTAGGCATTATTATGCCTGTGATGGGCAACCTCACTAGGCAGTAGGAAGGGGCAGGAAAGCTTTTAAAAGAGAACTATGGGGTGAGTGAATTACACTCATCCCCATAGTTAGAGCCAACGTGTGACATTGAAAATGTCACACGTCGGCTCTATTGATTGGGAAGTGAGTGAAAACATGCCGCTCGCTCACTTCCCAATCCTCTCCTCACAGGGATTCTCCCCTCTACGATCCTCCAGCGCTGACTGGAGGGACGGATGGGGGACAGGGCGGGCATAGCTGGCTCTGCCTCAAGATTGACAGCGGGCTCTGCCTATCAGCCAGCGGGGTGGATCTCGACAGTATTGTCAGGATCTGTCCTGGCTGTGGAGCTCTCAGCATATAGCTGGCAAAAGCCTGCTATACACTGAGTTTTGGGTCACGAGAGAACGTTGGTATATGTCCTCCCATGACCCTAAAGAGAACTATGGGGGGAAAAAAGGTTACCCCATAGTTCTCTTTTAACACTATCCGCAAGTGCCAAAGCTTTGCCTGTCAGAACAACCTGTGAATCAGACATATTAGGAAGGTTTTGCAGGTTGCTGCAAGTTGCTGTAGATGCTTGCACTTCTTTCCTGCAGCAGTTTACCCCCTCTTTTCCCCAGTGAGAGTCTATTTTGAAGTGAATTTCAGACTTCAAATGTTACTCCTTTATTTAGCATCTAGTGTCATGTGCAATCTGGAAGAGGTTTTCTAAACTCTCTCTTGTTAAAAACCCATGTACAAATGCAGCATAACTATAGAGACAAAATTGCTTACAATAAGACTACTTTCACATATATGCATTTTACACTCCAGCTGCTAATCATCAGACTATGGAAATTGGAGTTATTCATATCACTTGGCAAGCTGGCATACTTTTGCTATTTAGTCATAAAGAAAATGTGATTATTTAGAATCAAGAATTGACTGTGTCAGAAAAAAATAAGGCGAACATATCATTTTTGTTTCAGTTTTTGTAAATCAACCAGCTGTGTATTCATGAAGCACTTTGGGCACTTGTAATCAGACTTTTAGATCTAGTTTAAAGACTTTTTTGCACTCTGCTAATTATATAAAATATAATATTTTGTAATCGTACATTACGGGACAAAGGAGAAATAGTCAGGAATATAGAGTTAGGCCTTGTTCACACCAAATGCAGACCAGATCCGGTCAGGTTTCTGCACACGCAGTGTAGTGGGTTGTGCCGCGTTTTAGACGCGCTTTGGATGCGTTTTTGATGCGTTTAGGGCCGGTTTTGGTAAAAAAAAATAAAAAAAAATTTAAGTTTAACATGGACTTTCAGGCACTTGCATGTGTTTTTGATGCGTTTTTGCCTTTTAGATGCGTTTTTGATGCGTTCCAGACCAGATCCAGAGCAGGTAAAATAGGGCTTGCCGCATTTTTTTCATCCGGTCTGGATCTGGTCTGGATCCGCACGCTGCAATGTGAACTGGAGGTCAAAATACCATAGGAATACATTGGACGCAGTTTTGATCCGGCCTGCACCTGCTCCGCGCTTGGTGTGAACAAGCCCTTATGCAGCTGCTTTCAAGGGATTGGACTCTGGGAAAACGTTCAGTTGCTGCAGACACTGGGAATCATTTTTGAAGCTCCCGGATCAGCTAATGCATTGCTTTTCCTGGAAGCTATGCCCAGATTCCACAGAGATAACAAAGCTAGGCCAGCCTGTAATTCTTCTTTTTGAGCACTGAACTCTGTGTTAAGTGCTCACCTGGGCACTCTTGGTGCAATGTGATAAGTTCTACAGTACAGGTTCAGGACCATGGTTCACCCATCCAGGGGAAACCTGTTCCTGAAGACTCTTGGGAGACTAGGAAGTATGTCCACTGTGAGGGCAAAGACTGCTGGATGGGTCATGTCCCCTGGATCCTGCCTATGTACTGTCCTGGCAGGGATACCAGACCTCGTACAGAACCAGGAACAGAGATTTGTGACATAATTAAGGTTTATTCATCATATGTTGGGTAGTACGATAGCCAGCTTACTACTACCAAAAGATGAATTACAAAACTTTTAAAGAAAGGTACATTAGCATAATTCATGATACCTCCTAGTGCCATCCCACACTGGGCCGACACAGAAATACAAACCATCCAATAATATTTGACTATTTATCACAACTTTTAAATAGTTAACTCTCTAAAACCATAGCATCAGCATCTTTTCCTTGTTAGTTATACTGTAACAGCTTTGAAAGATAGGCAATATTTATCTTATCAGCTACCCCCGCAAGGGTGTTTGCTAAGAACGAAAAATCCTTTGAAAAGGCCTGTAAAACACAGACTGAGATCTCTTTTGCAGGGTCTGCACAAATATATATTTGCAAACTTCTGCAAAGATAAAAACCATTGATCTCCACAGACTTTGGACTTATGTATAGCAAGATGGAGCCTCGAATATTAAAATGGATTCTTTAACTTAACCAACTTTTCCACCACAACCCCCCCCAGGACACAATTGGCTCCCTGCTGCCTCCAAGTGACTAGTCACATGCGGCATGTAAGCCCCCCTATGTGATAGCAATTAAAGTAAATTTAAAAAAAAAACAGTTTTTAAAATTATCATTAAAATAATTTAAAATGTTTTAAAGTCTGCTGCGAGCACGTGCGTCTTCCCGTAAACATGCGTCTGGTGCGCCTACGTATGAAAACAACAAACGCGCTACACATGTGGGGCATCGCCGCGCACGCCGGAGTGAGAGAAATAACTCTAGGGCCAGTATTTTTGGGTATCTCTAAACTAATGGCCTGTGGGGGCTTTTAAAGCGTCATCTATCGACACAGCACCCTCCCTTTTATATCCTCAATGGCTTACTAAAAAACTGATGATTTCTTGTAGTGCTAGGGATTATATGAGGTCACAGCTCTGGCCAGTGTCCAAACACCTGATGATACCTGCATATTAGCATTGAAATATGTGAAGCGGCGTTGTCAACCAACACAGAAACAATTAATATGTGCAAAAACCAGACATAATACTACTGTTAATTTTTTTTTTTCAAATTCAATCTTCTTATCAACTGTTTGTGTAAGTCAAAGGTGATTACCTTAAAAAAAAGATCTCAAAAGTAACTAATAAAGTAGCAAACGTCCTGTGTCAGTTAAACACATAATTGAAACAAAGTGTTCATGAAATCATTAAAGGCAAACAGCTCAAGTCTTAATGGGTGAAAAAAAAACCAACTGAAAAAAATGTGTTTTCTTAGTCTTTCTTTGTGCGTCACTCTGCCCACTCGTGTAATTTCTTGTATATGATCTTTAACCCCTTCGTGACTGACGACGTACAGCGTACGTCGCCAGCATCGGGGCTGTTTAAACAGACTCCCGGCGACTTTTGCCGCCGGGACTCTGTTTAAACTTGTAGAGCCGACTGTCGGCTTTACAACAGAAGCGATCCTGGCGACTTACCTGTCGCCAGATCGCTTCTGTGACTAGTTTTGCATAAAAAATCCTTTGCTGCAGTGCTCACAAAAAACACCAGTGCTCTGATAGATAAGCCTCTCACTTCTGTGTTCAGACCCCTAGGTCTCAAATCGCTTCTTGTAGGATTAAACTCCTTCCTCATACTATCTGAAGCCGTGATCTTCCTGCCTTCCTTCAGATGAGACCGATCCTGATCTTATCGTTTTCTCCTCTACCGACAGCCCAACTTCATCTTAAAAAAATCTCTCAGGACAGAAGTGGAAATCATAGCGCACCCCATATACATTGAAAATATTTTATTAAAAGAATTACTCACATAAAAAACGAATAAAATTGCGTATCAGAATCACATTCCTGGATGTCAGGTCTGTCCTCCTCTCTCTCCCCAGGCGTTCTGACGTCACTAAGCTTCTACGCGTTGCGTCTAATTGACTTCATTAGGCTAGAAAAAAACATTTCCCAGTAGTATTGTTCACCACAATATTTGTTTTTTGCACATATTTGTTTGCTGTGTTGGGTGACTGCGCCGCTTCACATATTTGAATAATATTAATGCAGGCTCATGCAGCCAATTTAAGTGAGCAGCTGTAAGGAGGAATGCCCAGTTTTCCAAGATTAATCGAGCGCAGAAGTTTCTATAGAAAAGATACCTGCATATTACCCAATCATCTATGAATTGCCTGTGTCCGGTACTGTACTCCAAGGAACCGATTTTACTGGTAAGTAAAAAAAAACAAAAAAAAAAACCCTGCTTTCTCCCAAGGGCACATTAAGGTCTCGTTCACACCTAGGCGTATTGCATATGCGCGTCTGTCGCACGTTTTTTTTACCGCGATTCACGGTAAAAAAGTCGCGCGTTTCCGAAGGCTACTTGTCTGTATCCCAATGGAAACGCGCAACAAAACGGCCCAAAGTAGTACCTGTACCTTTTCAGGCGTGGGCCGTTTTGTAGCGCGTTAGGGACGGGCGGAAATACTCCAAGGTGGGAACGAGACCATAGAATACAATGGGATTTATATTTTTGAGCGTTTTGTAGAGCGTTAAATAATCTAGATTTACATATTTGGGTACCTGGTTCTGTGTATTAGTAACTCACTAGAATGTCACATAAGCGATTCTTAAAATTAGGTGTAAACCCTAACTGAATGACATTTAGTTTGCTAAAGCACTGTGCATCATAAACTATTGCCCTTTTTGTTTTTTTTGTTTTTTGAAATCAAATACTTGTTTTCACCTACTTGAATCTCAGTGCTGCTAATCTTTGCAGCCACTTCCCGTCTAAATGAATGTGTTCCGCTGATGGCTGCATGACATTTCTCAGGGTGGGTTTGCTGATGGTGACAACAGTGGACCATGTTTTAGTCACCTGTAGTCTCCATTGGAAACCTGTGTGACAGAGTGACAATGCAGGAGAACAATTGGCAGGATCACTAGGTTTTATTTTAATTAAAACTGCAGATAAAAAAAATATTGAAAATGTAATTTGAAATGACAAGAACACATTAAAGATTATTTGATTTGGGTTTTCATAATACACCAAAAAAATTATTAAATATTTATCCCTTCACCAGAGTAGAGTTGTTTCAAATGCAGTATTGCAGTATTTACCTTTTTAACCAGACCACTTAACCAGGCAGCTATTTTATTCCAGAACCTTCTCCCCAACCACAAAATTAAAACGTGATTTAGAGCTTGAGGTGAGGAATCGCACTTTGGTTTAATGATCTAAATATGTTTTTCATACATTTTTATTTACCTTCTTTGCTAAGAAAGTAAAATTTGAGTTTTAGTTTCCACCTTAATTGCAGCCTGGTATACAGGTTGCATGTTCAAAATAATGTTAGAAGGTTAAATAGGTTAGGTAGGCAGAGTCAACACCCATTTATACCTCAACAAAGTGAGCTGCAGTGCAGGCATTTTGTCTGTTGATTCGAGGTGCCTTAGGCAGCTCACTTATAATGAATAGACTGCGTTGTACCTCAATGCAGGAAAAAATAGGTGCTGTTCACATTTTAATGCAGCTCAAAGCAATGAACCGGATGCCACACATTGTGTTGCAATGCCCAGCTTCCTGATTAGCTGGTAAGCTGGCTCTATGCTCCTTCGTCACCAGGTGACGAGGAAGCATGGAGCCGGCTTTCTGGCCAATCAGAAAGCCGGGGGGCAGGTAATGACTCGACGCCCGACTTCCTGATTGGGTGGGAAGCCAGCTCCAAACACCCTGGTGATGCGGGAGCATGGAGCCGGCTTCCCGGCCAATCAGGCAGCCGTGCAGCATGTAATGACTTGCCACCCGGCTTCCTGATACTCGAAGTTCCGGTATCAGGATAAGCATAGGAAGCATTTGGGTGAGTACAAGTACTCACCCAAATACTTGATATCTGCACCGCTACTAGCATCGGTATCGGTGCATCACTAATAACACTTCAATAGCAACTTGCTAATTTTTTACATACATATACATATTTTTTACAAATATCTCTACTCTAGTGAGCCCTCTTTATAGACCATTCTCGGTATATCTTATACATCAGCCGTTCTCAAACTTCAAACCTTGGGTTGCCCTAGGTGGTTCCAAGTTTTTATTGAATTTCCATAGAACAAAAATTGGGGCTACCCCCGCACTGCGAAGGGTAAAAAGGGGGGGGGGGGGCAGAGAGGCTTGAAGGACTGGTCTAAGAAAAAGCCATCTTGCAGGTTCAGGTGAGTATAACTTTCTTTAGCACCTAGACAAAAACGAGCAGTTAATCCTTGCAGTACAGGGGTAGCCCCACTGCAAGGGTTATTAAAAGTTTTGCCCAGAGTTCATTAAATATGACTGGAAGCTCCTGCCTTTTAGCATGGCAAACTTGAACATCTGAATAAGTGCTCCCGAGACCCCTCAGTTTAAGGTTCCTTTTAAAATGCTCTCTGGTGTAAAGGCTCAACTATTTATTATTAAACTAGAATTGGCTACATTCTTTTTATACTTACCCTGCATAATTGTTAAACCAAAACCTTCTCGTAGTGTAATTATTGTAAATATGTATTCATTGAATATTATAAAACACCTTCTTGGCAACTACAGAGAACACCAAAACCAATATATGTGAATGCAAATGTTTGCTATACTACTTTATAATCTCCATAATTCTATAACCAAAATCTTTAAATGTACCACGCTTCACTGGTGCCAAGGCATGTCTAAATAGCCTTGCACGGTCCGTGTATATCCAAAGGCCATTATATGCATGCTACAATAAGTTCATATAATAGTTCACTCCTGGCGTTATTGGCAGCTAGCATTCATAGCCTTCTCAGGAAGAAACGATCCTCAGCACAGTGTGCTGCACCACCACAAGGACCAGCGAACCTTCACAGCAAAGCAAAAAAAACATAAAAAGGCACAGAGCACCCAACCATGTGTTAATTAGTTTTATTTTATTATACATATCATGAAACAAAATACAATGCAGCGCATAACTCTCATCCAGTGTGGAAAGTGTAAATCTGTAAATGAAAAAATAAACACAGACACCGCCGATCAACCAGCTGGCTTGCCGCTTCCCAGCATTTTGTTTGTGTTCATGGCTGATGCGTTTCCAGGGCACACTCCTTCAGTAAGGTCTGATGAAGGGGCATGTCCCGGAAATGCGTTAGCTGATCGCCCGTGTCTGTGTTTATTTTTCCATTTACAAGTCTAGAGTTATGCGCTGCATTGTTGACACCTTTTGTAAGTATATTTTTTAATTATCTGCATAATAAAATAAAACTATTCAACATGTGGTTGGACACTCTGTGCCTTTTTATGTTTAGCTTTACATGCTGCAATAAGATCAAAAACCAAGCACAATGGATACTGCAGATGAAACTACATTAAACATAGAGAAGGAAGCCAGTATGGTGAACCAGGGAAAGATTAATCTCCTCTGCACCTGGCAAGAATATCTGGCATTTCCTGGTATTGAAAAGAATGCAACTTGCTCCCCTGTTACATCAATTTACCAGCTGTAAAGGTTACAACTTATTGCTACAAAATTACAGTTCTATTTTGGTTTTTTCAGGTACAGCACTTGGGAACCAGAGGAGAACATCTTGGATGCAAGATTAGTGTCAGCATTTGAGGACAGGTTTGTAGCTCTCTCCTAACATTAAGGGCTTGTTCACACCAGATCTGGAGCAGATCTGCAATCGCAGTGCAGTGTATTTTTGGAGAATATTTGATGTGTTTTTGACGCGTTCCGGGGTGGTTTCTTTAAAGGAGAACTATGAGGCGAGTGATTTCCACACATACTCATAGTTAGAGCCGACCTGTGGCACAGAAGCTGTCACAGGTTGGCTCTATTGGTGAGTAGAAACATGCAGCCCATCTGCTCACTTCCCGATCGTCTCCCTGTAGGGAGCAGTGACGGTCAGTCGCTGCCCCCCCCCCGCAGGGATTCTCCCCTCTCCGATCCTCCAGCGCTAAGGGGGAGCGCACAGGCACAACTGGCTCTGCCTTTAGATAGACAGAGCCAGCTGTCACTCACGTAGCTGGGTGGATCACGGCAGTATTGTCGGGATCTGTCCCGGCTGCTGCACTCTCAGTATATAGCAGGCAATATCCCATGATATACTAACCTCCTCCCGTGATCCTAAAGAGAACTATGGGGAGAAAACACATACTCCATAGTTCTCTTTTTAAGCTTTTAAATGGGCTTTCAGGTGCATTCCAGTGTGTTTACATGCGTTTTGGTGCAGCCCAGGCCAGAAAAAAATAGTGCATGCAGCATTTTCTCCCTCTGCACTGGTGTGAACATTGCACTGGATTGAACAGAGCCCAGAAATACCATAGGAATACATTAGGATGCATTTAAGGTGCGGACACAAACTGTTCTGCTCCGGACATGGTGTGAACAAGCCCTGAATCAAATTAAATGTTGTTATTAAGATTACTGGGATGATCTTAGTTTGTATTAATTGTATTGTATTTTTTTCCTCCCCTGACAATCGTTGTGCTCTGCAGCATGTGGAAGTGGCTCTTACAGGTTATAGGGTACTTTTATAATGTAAATTGGTATCGCAGTGCCACAGTCATTTTTAAAATCCCTACAACATTTGCACACTCACTTTACTTGTAGTAAAGCTGCAATCCAGGAATGTGCTTGTATGTCAAAAAACTCTTAGAGCATATTTATAAGGCAAATAATGCAGCTTGCACCAATGGTGCTAAATCAATCACTGCCATTTTACACATTCAACTGGGAGATTCACCTGCAGTGAATGTTTAAGGTCAGATTGACTGCTTTATTGATGTGCCCTTTAAAATATTTATCTTTTATCCTAGGGAGAGAGAGAGGGAGATGTATGGACCGAAAAAAAGGGGTCCAAAACCGAAAACATTCCTTCTGAAGGTGAGTTAAAATTAACAAGCTATGTAATATACACATGGAATTTCAAATCTTAATTTTCCTTTCAGATGATTTATCCATTAGTCTCTTGTAACGTGTTACAATCATAGCATTGTAGTATGATATTCGCATTAGTAAAGTCATTTAAATGCAGATCTATGCGGATGTCCAGCAAAGTTTAATTTGCATACAGGAAATATTTTAAACCTTTATTTTAAATATTTTAAAAATAAAAAAATATTTTAGAAAAGGAGGTGGGCACAGCTGGCTCTGCCTCTAGAAAGGCAGAAGCCGCTGTCAATTAGCCAGCAGGGTGGATCTCATCAGTATTGTCGGGATCTGCCCCGGCTGCGGCGCTCTCAGCATATGGCGGGCAATAGCCTGCTATATACTGAGTTTTGGGTCACGGCAGGAGGTTAGTATATGTCCACTCGTGACCCTGAAGAGAACTATGGGGGGAAAAAAGGTTACCCCCTAGTTTTCTATAACCACTTGCTGACCGGGGTGTTAAACCCCCTTCCTGTCCAGGCCGTTTTTCAGTATTCAGCGCTGCAGTACTTTGACTGACATTTATTCCGTCATGCAACGCTGTACTGAAATGAATTTTTTACCATTTTTGGGGGACAGATAGAGCTTTCTTTTGGTGGTATCTAATCACCACTGGGGGTTTTATTTTTTACTATTAAATGAAAAAAGGACCAAAAATTTAGGAAAAAAAAAAACTTTTCCCTACGTTATGTTTTAAAACATTTATTATTACCCAATTTTTTGGTGAAATATAATAGATGGGGTCATGTTGGGTAAATAGACGCCAAACATGTCAAGCTTTAAAATTGCGTGCACCCACAAAATCCCAAAAAACTACCATGCCTAAAATTGGCCATATGCGACACTTTAAAAGCTTTTACTTCTCATCAGTTTAGTGTTATCAGTGATTGATCGGCCTAGAATTATTTCTCTCACGGCGACGTTCCCGGCGATGGGAAACGTGTGGCGTAATCGTTGTTTTTGCACGTAGGTGCACCCGACGCGTATTTACGTTTAAGTGTATGCACGCGGGGCGGGGGGGACTTAAAACTGTTTTTGGGTCTTTTTTTATGAGTCTTTAATTTGTGTAACTGTTTTTTTTTTTTACACTTGATTGCTATAACATAGGGGGATAACAATCCCCTATGTGAAATCTAGAAACAATGACAGGTCCTTTTTATGGAGACATCAGGGGTTCCCAAGACCCATAATGTCACCTAGGGACCACCAAAGAAGCTGATGAAGCCGAGATCTGTTTCATCAGCTTCTTCTCTGGCTCTCAGCCAGACAAATGACAGCTAAAGGCAGAAGTGATGTATACACATTGCTTCTACCTTTAGAGTGGAGGAGAGGTCAGCGGTGGGGGAAATGCTGATCTATCTCTCTTTCTTCTCTCTACGCTGTCCGCCCATATTTTTACGATGGGCGGGCGGCAAGGGGTTAATGTGACTCTATGCCCTGCGGCATTGTCTACCAACAGTTACAGAAGAGGAAAAGGTATGACTAGCAGAGGGGACAGATTTGTGGGGGAAATTTTTAGTTGCTCACAAGTATCCAAGTTGCTTAGGTAAAACAGCAAGCATGAGTTATCTGTAAGCACTGAAAGAGTAGCCTTACGCTAGCCGCACTATAGTTCTGGCATATGTCTTGGTTGCATTGCAAAATACACTGAGGGGAATTTATCAAAACTGGTGTAGACAGAATCCGGAGCAGTTGCCCATAGTAACCAATTAGCTTCTCTAATTCATTTTCAAAGCATAACTGAAAAAACTGAAGATAGACGTTGATTGGTTGACATGGGCAACTGCTCCAGAATCTGTCTGCTCCAGTTTTAAAGAATTCCCCCCAAAGTGTGCAATATGTGTAAAATGTTGTAAAACACAATGTCCTGGATCGCTGACAATAGCAAAATGTTGGTGTTATGTTAAGACACTCTATAGCTTGTTATTATTATATACTTATCATTTATGCCTTTACAGGCTCAAGCCAAAGCAAATGCAAAGACCTATGAATTCCGAAAGGACTCTTCTCGTGGCGTAAGAGTTCCGTACCCAGGTTGTCCTGCTCAGCAACTCCCACCTAGGTCTAGGGAAGGCTTAAGAAGTGCCCCAAATTCTTCGCAAGAGAGCAGTGGGGCAAATTATATATTTAATGAAACATTAGGCAGGCCAGATATTGGAGGGGAGAGATATACCTTAAACATTAAGAAAAAGAAACATCACCGTGGAAAAGGACTCCATAAGGAAGATGCTCAGACCCGAAGAATGTCTCCTGCAAACCATAATAGTCAAGTTGAACATATGACTGGTTCTACCAGGATACATGAAGTAGGGCCCCTAAAATATAAATCAACATACAGTGTAATACAGCTTGCAAGACGGCAGAATTCAGAACTGGGATCAACAAGCCAGACAGATCATTATTTCATGCCTAGGGAACTTGGGCATACACATAAGACACATTTTAGAAGTGATCCTAAAAGCTCCAACTCCCAAGAGACAATTGTCCCAAAAAACAGGCACAACTCCAGATACCATCAACAAGTGTCTGACTTCTACAAGGATGCTTTGGTAACACATGGGGGAAAACCTTCTCTTATTGCTCGTATTCCCGTGGCCAGGATACTTGGGGAACCAGAAGACGAAACTTGGAGACCCTCAGCAGACAATTTGGAGAAAGTAATAGTGACAGATGTGACTTCAAACTTTCTGACAGTGACAATAAAGGAAAGCAACACAGATGAAGGGTTTTTTAAAGATAAAAGATGATCATATTTAATATATTTGTATATGTAGCATTCACAAAGTTAGGTTATGTAGTATTTTATATGTTTGTGTGTAAATATTATATACCCATAAATTTTTTCATAAATACATGAACCAATGTAAAATATATTGTAAAATAATCAAATAATTCCTTATATAAAGAGAACAGTGATGCTACAGCAAGAAAATATGTTGCATATTTGGAGTTTAATTACCTATATTTTCCCGTTAAACGCACACACAAACATATATATATAATACATACATATGTATAGTGCCTATAACGCAACAAATCAGAGTTTAAAAAAATAAATAAATAGATCTGTGAAAAGTAATTTAAATTATAATGAAAAAACAAAATAACTGGTTGCATAGGTATACACTCCCTTAAATAAAACACATAAATCACAACTGATTCTTTTTTAGAGTTGCACAATTAGTGAAATGGAGATCAACTGTGTGTAATCAGAGGGTTTGAAGTTGTTGTAGTAAATACATGGTACATGTACAATTCATGTACTATAATTACAAGGTCCGAATTTTGATAAGTCAGTTTCGTTGCATAACATCATGAAGATAACAAAAGACCCCAAGCATCCCCATGAAAAGGTGAGTGAAAAGCACAAGTCAGGGAAGTAATACAAGTCACTGATTAACCCTTTGGAGTACAGTCACGTCATGGAAAGCGTACAGCATGTTAATCTGCTTAGAGCAGGCTGACCACAAAATGTGAGTTACCACAAGGAGTTGGTTAGTGGGAGAAGCAACCAAAATACCTGTTACAACTCTAATGAAGTTACAGGCCTGGAGACTGAGACTGGAGAAACTAAGCATACAACTGTTGCCTAGGTGCTTCATCAGTCCTAGCTTTCCAGAAGAGTGGCAAAAAAAGCCACTGTTGGCTAAAACTCACTTGACAACTTACAGCATGTCAGAAAGCACCTGGGTGGCTCTAAGGGTAGCTAGAATGTTCTATGGTCTGATATGACCAAAATTGACCTTTTTGACAATAAGACTAAACATGTTTGACATAAGCCAAAAAGAACATCATAAACGCAACAGACCCATTAAGCATGGCGGCGGTAGAATCATGCAGTGGGTATGTTTTCTGCATCAGGCTCTGAAAAGCTTGTAATGGTAGAATGAATACAGGGAAATCCTGGAGGAGAACCTGATGCCGGCAGCAAGGAACCTGAGCCTAGAGAGAAAAATTGTATTCTGGCAAGACAATGAAATCAGACAGAAAGCCAAATCTACATACGAATGACTTAAGAATTTCCTGGAATGGCAGAGTCCAGATATCTGTGTACAGAAAATTTGTGGATGGGCTTGAAAAAGGTTGTCTGCTCACTATCCCCATGCAACCTATCAGAGCCAGAGCAGGTTTGTAAAGAGTAATAGGGAAACCTTGCAGTTTCAGTTTTTGAAATGCCTGTGAATTTATTAAAAAGAAAAAAACTTGATATATCACATGTACTTAACTATTTAGACCGTTTACTCTGTACTTTGTTAAAGCTCCTTTGGCAGCAATTACAGTTTTTCTTTTTGGATATGATGTGACAAGCTTTACACACCTGGATTGGGGGATTTTCTGTTATTCTTTGCAAATCCTCAGTCAGGTTGGATCATCATGGGACAGCCATTTTCAGGACTCTGCAGGGATAGTCAATAGGGTTCAAATCAGGGCTCAGGCTTGGCCACTCTAGAACATTCACAGAGTTGTCCCTAAGCTACTCCTGTGTTGTATTGCCTGTGCTGACGATAGTTGTCATGTTGGAAGGGGAACCTTTTGCCCAGTCTGAGGTCCTGAGCGCTGTGGAACAGGTTTTCATTGAAGATATCTCTGTACTTTGCTCCATTCAGCTTTCCTTCAACCCTGACCTCACAGTCCCTGCTGCTTAAAAACACCCCCACAGCATGATGCTGCCACCACCATGCTTCACTATTGGGATGGTATTGGGCAGGTGAAGAGCGGTGCCTGGTTTCTTCCAGATGTACCATTTGGAATTGAGGACAAATAGTTCAATCTTGGTTTTATCAGACCAGAGAATATTGTTCCTCACAGTCTGAGTGTCCTTCAGGTGCTTTTTTGCAAACTCCAAGCAGGCTTTCATGTGTTTTGCACTGAGGAGAGGCTTCCATCTAGCCACTCTGCCATAAAGGCCAGATCAGTGGAGGGCTGCATTGATGGTTGTCCTTCTAGAACTTTGACTGAGCTCCAGAGATTCTGTGTGGAGATGGGACAGAGTGACCATCAGGTCACCTCTCTTACTAAGGCCCTTCTCCCCTGATTGCTCAGTTTGGCCAGGTGACCAGCTCTTGGCTTCTTCCATTTGAGAATTATGGAGGCCACTATGCTCTTGGGAACCTTAAGTGCAGCAGAAATTGTAGCCTTCCCCAGATCTGTTCCTTGCAATAATCCTGTCTCTGAGCTCTACAGTCAGTTTCGTTGACTTCATGGCTTTTGCTCTGATACAGTATGCATTGTCAGCTGTGAGGCCTTCTATAGAGAGGAGTGTGCCTTTCCAAATCATGTCCAATCAATTTAATTTACCACAGGTGGACTCCAATCAAGGTGTAGAAACATCTCAGCCACGATCAAGAGAAATAAGAGGCACCTGAGCTAAACCTTCAAGTGTTGTTGCAAAGGGTCTGAATACTTATGTCAATGTGATATTTCAGTTTTTCCTTTTTCATATATTTGCAAACATTTCTATAATTCTATTTTCACTTTGTCATTATGGGGTACTGAGTGTAGATTAACGAGAAAAAAATAATTTAAAAACAATGTATTCTGAACGCACTGTATATGTATGTATGGGTGTGCGTGTTTACTTTTTACAATTGACACTTTATTTTTAGGGACAGGATTTAGGCTTTCAAACTTCTGGGTTTTTTTTCTTCATTTTCCTTGTATTTGTAAACCTGCCACATTGCATGAAATGAACTGGTAGTCTTAAATAAAATAGTGTTAAAAACAGCAACACAAACCCTATGATGAAGGGCCTTTTGCATGATAGGCAATAGTTTCCTTAACCATTTTCTCTCTTCAAATCACAGGTACTTTAAATGATCACGTTTATTTTATGGTGTTTTAGATATTTTACATAATTTGCCATTTTTGAAATGTCAGTTTTAAACTCCTAATGTCATGCTTTTGAATGTTGTAAAATTCCATGTTTCAAATATATGTAGCAACCTCCTCCCTTTTTTTTTTATTTGCTATGGTTGGCGCAAAGATTTATTGTGGTTTTACTGTATTGTATTGTGGTTTGCTTTTTTTCCAAGTTCAAATTTTTTTTTAATACAAGATATTGCCTAAAGCACAGCTAAGGAGGTGTTGATGTGAAAATAGTTTTGAAGCATTGTTCTTGATTATACATTGAATGTTTGTTTTGCTGCACAGGTAATCTCCTTATTGCATAGAGATAAAAATTGTCCTTTTACTGTCTCTTGATCAGTTCAACAGACACTGCCTCCTTACAGCCCACCACCCCCTAAGCAAGGTATACTCCTCAATTGTGCCCCTTTTGCCACCTCCCTGTTCCGTCTAAGCTATTGCTTCTTTGGCTGGGCACACACCTTACAACCATTGCAAGACTTTTGTCTTGCGATGGTTTTAAGGTAATTAAAAAAAAAAAAACTACGATCTGCCTATCTTGGACAGGCAGATCGTACTTGCGATGATCGCGAGCCCGCCCCGCTGAGGGGCGGGCTTCCGATGACCTCAATGCTGAACGGGCAGTGTGCGCTTGCGCACACCGGCCCGTGCGGCTTTTATCTTGCGAACATGCCACAAACCAGCCGAACATCGTACGATGTGCGACCTTATAGTAGTAGAGGTCGCACGGCTGCCACAAACCTTACGATAATCGTACGATCGCGGGATTTCCTGCGATTATCGTAAGGTGTGTGGGCACCTTTGGCTTCAACAGAGCAGGGATTCCGTGTAGAGGTGAGCATGTGACTCCAACTCAGGCCTGTGTGTCTTAGTGTCTTTTAGTTACTGTGGTGTGCCACTTTAATTACTGAACCATCTTTGATTCCGTAGTGCCCCAAATACTCATTCATACATATTGCTTATTATTAAGGTAAAGTCACTGTGGCTGAACAGCTAGTCACAAACTTGTAATTGTTACATAGTTTGCTGTAGAGTAGGGGCAAGTATGCAGCTAGAAGGTCACCTGTGCAGCAACATCCTAAAAAAAAGGGTGTACCAATAGAATAATCTCGATATTCCTCATAGCCTGTGTAGACAGGCTTTGGTTACAAAATGATGACATTTTTATTTGAACACACGGTTTGGGCTGCAATTGATCTGCTTTTGTCTGCAACACAAATGGATCTCCATAGGACCTGCTGCATCTAAAGAAATACAATGCAAAACTGGCCAAATGCAACCTCCCAGTAGTCATCCACACTGCAAAATGAAAGTAGACCTTGTGTAATAATGTAAGTTCTGCATATGTTGCAGGTCCCCACTCCAATGAATAAAAAAATGCACATGCAAAAAAGAAAAGATGCACGCCAACTTCTGGCTATCTTCCTGTCCGTGTCACAGGGCTTTACTGCAGAAACCAGGATAAACTTAGGATCATAACTCTACAAAAGATGCTCTGGCGTTTTGGGGCCCATTCTCATGAAGCTTGGGATTATCTGCTTTTCCAGGATCCTGCAACAGGACCCAGTCATGTCACAAGTTCACGGCAAGGTAAGTATTTTTAAATTTTGGTTTTTAAATGTTCTATGTATAGCTGTCTCTTTGCATTTTTTATTCAGGGATTGGGGGCTGCAACATGAAACATTAAAATCAATTAGATTGATTTGAAAACTGCTTCAAATGCAAGTCAGATGCAGAGAAACTAAGCCTGCTATACAATTCTGTGCAAGCCTACAACCTTACCTAAAGTTCAAGTGTCTAACCTAGCACCTTTTACCTATCTCCATGACTAAAGTAGTGGGACATGTGGCTCAATTCACAAAGCTTTAACAAAAGTATAAGGGTCGTTATAGCCTTGTGACTTTAATTTTCAAATCTCATTGGTGAAAATAACTCACCTTTTTGAAAATAAAGATCTTGGAGTGTTATCTTTGTGGACTGAGCCAATGGTGCCTGTGAAAACAGCTATGGGAAAACTCACCTCTACTTTTGTTTTAGCAGCCATTTAATATTTTCCTACTGTGAGATAGAAATGAAATCCCAGCTGGTGACAGGGTATTAGGAAATATAAGGGTTAAAAGTAATTTCCCTTGGGACTAGTTAAAAATAACATTGGCAATATTTTAATATGAACTATATGGAGATTTTTACGTTTGTGTAAAGTTCTTCTTTAACCACTTCAAAATAAAATGGATTTTTATGTCCATAATACATTTGTCCAAGTGACTATATAAGCATATTCCTTCATTCACACAAATAGATATTTTAACTGAGTCTAAAGTTCATTTTTGCCTTCCTTAGGCACTTTACACAGAAAAATGACTTTGTGAATCTGTCATGGAAGATGCATGTTGACTGCCACTTATTCTAAAAATGCCAAATGTCTAACTCCCATGCTGATTCTTTGGCTTCCTTGCATTCACTCATTGTCCCAAAATTAGTATGCAGGAACGAACTTATGATGTTTCTCTGACTTTCTTGATCTGCATGCTGGTTCTGGGTTCTTGATCTGCATGCTGGTTCTGGGTTGGTGATACATTCAATAGAAAAGCATGTCCCCTGCCAGCATGTTGCAGAGAAGGAACCTTGCTCTCTGCGTAGAAGCAGTGGTATCTATGCTGAGGTCCAACATGCCCACTACTAAGTCAGAGCTAGAACTCTCCAATCAGCAGGGAATAAGAGCTTCCCTGATTGCCTGACTCAGCGTCTAAAAGTCTTATCTTCCCCTGCTGGGAGATCATCCACCCCAGGGCCTTATTATCAGGTAGACTATGTAGAAGAGCTGGAAAGAGCTTCGACAACACTATCTCACATCTCCAAAACTGGTAATTGTTATCTGTTCTAAATAATTACTTAGTTGTTCATCTGAGTATGCACTTTTAGAGGCATATACAGTGGGGCAAAAAAGTATTTAGTCGGCCGCCAATTGTGCAAGTTCTCCCACTTAAAAAGATGAGAGAGGCCTGTAATTGGCATCATAGGTAGACCTCAACTATGAGAGACAAAATGAGAAAACAAATCCAGACAAATCACATTGGCTGATTTGGAACCAATGTATTTGTAAATTATGGAACTTAAAATCAATAGAATGTATCTACTATATTAGTGGTAGAAGAGATTAGTATTCCCATTTAGTTTTCTATTGCCGCTCTCTTATGCAGATGGCTGCCAAGTCCATGTTATAGTTGCTAATACTTATTGCTAATAACTTGTTTTTGTTTCACTAGATCCTGTGCCACTTCCCAATATTTCAAATAAATAATACAAGAATTTTTCATCTCTCTCGATTTTACTTGTACCACCAGATTACTCTCATTCCTTTTGTATTTGCTTTAACAACTGACATTTATTTTGCAAGTAGTCCGACTACCAATGGGTAAGCTGTAGAGTTATTTCACCCCAAAAAATAATGCATGAATAGAAGAGAACTCTGGAAACAAACTTAACCAATAAGGATTTCATCTTCAAGGAAAATAGGGATTTAATCTTCAAGGAAAATAAGTACGGTATCTCTATTAGTTTTCCATTGTATTACCATTGGAGAATGCTTACAAATTCCCCCAACCATATATTAAATCTTCTGACTTAGTGGCAGGGCCGTAGCTACCATGAGATAAGTGAGGCACTCGCCTCAGGTGCAGCTCAGAGGGGGCACAGCCATGGCTGGCCTAGCTGCGCCCCTTGCCCCTGTTGCCATGGCGAGCACTGGGCGCCAGGCAGCCAACACAGCCAAGGCTCGGCAGGGAGAAAATGGGGCAGCACAGGTTCCAGCTACTCGTTGGATCCCTGCTCCTCTCCCCACCTGTATGGACAGAGGCAGAAGGGATCCGATAGGAAATGGAGCGCTGCAGGTGGGGGTGAGGCACGGAGGAGGGAGCTGTCACTTCAGGATGGCTGATCACTCCAATCTTTGTAAACAACTGGGGAAACAGTACTATGTGTCCCCAGTTATAAATGAACAGGAAGTGCTGCACATCACTTCCTGTTCATTCATGAATTTCTGAATGAGTAGTAGCACTCACTATAGAGGCTTCTATCCATTCATAACTGGTCTATATTCATTTAGAACAGAAGCAGCAGAAAAAGAGATTAAGGACTCTGGGGGGAATTTATCAAAACAGTAGCAGACAGAAACTGGAGCAGTTGCCCAGGGCAACCAATCAGCTTCTCTCTTCAATTTGTTCAGTTAAGAGTTGAAAATGAAATAGAGAAGCTGATTGGTTGCCATGCACAGCTGCTTCAGATTTTGTCTGCTGTAGTCTTGAAATAGAAAAATAAATTGAGGACACCGAGAGGGGAATTTATCAAAAGTGAAATGTCAGGGGTCTGTTAGACCCCTGATATTTCCCTGTACACATATTAGACGTGTGCATAGACTCAATTTGTTTTGGACGAAATTAATGGAAACTGAAAATGTTTTCATTCGTTTTGTCAAACGAAGCACATTTTATGCCATTTTGGATTTGGCCACTAGCGCATTCTGTGCATGTGTGCCCCCATCCTGGAGGCAGGGCGCATGATGTCACATGAAACCACATGTATGTTGGGGGACACAATTTTCTGTTCTTGCCTCGAGCGCAAAAGGAGCTAGCTACGGCTCTGCTTAATGGTATAATATTAGGAGAGCCAACTGCTAAATCTATCTTTAAAAAAATGTATGTATTTTAAAGAAACAAGCAAATTTTTTTCCCCCTTTAGGCCTTATTCACACAGCTTGCAGTTGGCCCGATGATAGCTGGCCCGATGATAGATAAATAATAGATGTTAGATGATGGATAGTTAATAGATATAAAGATGATATTTAGATGATAGATCGATAACAGAAAGAAATTATAGATTAGATGATAGATAGATAGATATATAGATGAGATAGATAGATATATAGATGATATATAGTTAATCAATGTTTATCTATCTATCATCTATCTATCCACTATATATGATCGATGGTTGATATATAGATATGTAAATGATGGCTAGATGATATATAGATGATAGATATACACTGAGTGGCCAGATTATTATGACCAGCTGATGTTTGTAGGCAAATTATCTATAATTAGCTCTAATTTCGCGCTGAAGTTGCTAGAGGGCCAGACCATTATAAATAGGGAAGCAGGTTGTTTACCACGACACTAGAAGTGATTTTTTTTTCTGAAGATATGGGTAAACAACGCGATTTTAACAGCCTTTGAACGTGGGATGATTGTTGGCGCTCGGAGCCATAGAGCGAGTATCAGCAAAACAGCAAAAAATTCGTTAAATGTTCAAGAGCAGCTGTTGTTAAAATTTCCACTCACCTCATAGTTCTAGCCGACCTGTGACAATGAGACTGTCACAAGGTAGATAGATAATTGATAGTTGTTTGATAGATGTAAGATAGATTATCGATATGATAGAGAGATACATCATCGCTGATTATATAGATATACAGTATCTCACAGAAGAGAGTACACCCCTCACATTTTTGTAAATTTTTTATTATATCAGTTTATGTGACGACACTGAAGAAATTACACTTTGCTACAATGTAAAGTAGTGAGTGTACAGCTTGTATATCTGTGTACATTTACTGTCCCCTCAAAATAACTCACAGCCATTAATGTCTAAACCGCTGGCAACAAAAGTGAGTACACCCCTAAGTGAAAATGTCCACATTGGGCCCAAAGTGTCTATTTTGTGTGGCCACCATTATTTTTCAGCACTGCCTTAACCCTCTTGGGCATGGAGTTCACCAGAGCTTCACAGGTTGCCACTGGAGTCCTCCTCAAAGACGACATCACGGAGCTGGTGGATGTTGGAGACCTTGCGCTCCTCCAC